AAGCTGCTTTAACTCCCACGCTGTGAAAGGTTTATGCGCAACGGAAGGTGAGGAGCTGCGATTAGAGATTATGAAAGAAAAGAGAGGCGGGAGTGCTGACAGGCGAACAGCGACCCGCCGCTTAAGCACACTTGTTGCCCATCCTGTCGGGCTAAGTAGGGCTGTTAAGTGCGCATCTGCATCACAATGTGACAAATGGCCCGTGCACGGAATCCGAAACGGAACCGACTTGCGCTTCAGTACGCCCAAAATTAGCTGGATACAGGGATGTTCTCTCAATCAAAATGCAACTGAAGCCCACTGGCCATGTAATATGAGGGTATTATCGTTGATTCAGCGTTACAAAGCGCTGAGAGTAATGCACTGCATTATGCACCGTGCACTGAAACGGTGCGAAGTGTTAAGCAAAGTTACTGCTGCAGCAGAGTACATTATCTCGCAGAGTTGGTTCCTCAAATGGATACCTGCGAGTAGTTAATATTATACTGCCAAAGAAGAATGCAAATATTAATGGTATACGTTATGGCATTCCATCTCGTTGCTGGCTGTTCCTTTGCCATACAGTTGCTTGATGTGTTCTGTCCCAGAGTAAGGTTAATTATGAGGGAAAGATGCATAATGTAATTAAGTAAGGCAAAGCAAACTTGCATTATTCCGTATTAATATGCCATACGGCAGAAGTATTTGATTTATTGCTTTTGTGTATCGGATAACGTAAGGCAAGTTGACATATGAACTGCGAAATATTCTGAGGTTGACTCAGATGGTTATTTAACTAGCTTTCAAACTGGAAATATACGAAAAGTTATACATCTAATAAATACGTTCTAAGTTACTCCTCAACTTAATGTAAAAGTTAGATACGTATGCCTACATGATACGGCTTTTCCGTTATTGAAAGCAATATAGGACTGAAAGATATGGGCTCTTATTTTTTTTTAACGGAGAGATGCATTTCCAGAAATAAGAATTTTTACTAATAAAATTTAAATAATTCTGCTAAACTGAGAAATGGTTTTCATTACCACTTCTTACTGGCAAAAATTCAGAATTATCTTTACTTACACTTACGAAGATATTTAGTACTGTTTTAATGACTGAATGTGATTTATAGTACGTTGTCAGGCAATTTTCTTAAAGGACAAGTAGCATTAAGTGTCATATCAAAGAAATACATCAACGAAACAATTTTAGCGGCGTAGATAATTAATGTTTTTTTGTTGCCAGAAATGGAAAAGTGAAATCAGTTTGGTAGCTGTTTTTCTCTTTAATAAGTATAGTTAAAAATGTCACGTAAAATACATAAATGTTTACAAAATTGATGCATATTTCCTATATAAATTTATTCTAATCCACTTTGTGTACTCGATTAATATTCGATATTTTTAAATATCAAAAACTGTTCTGATTTTATTTACCACTCTGAAACGAAAGTGGTAATCACTTGAGAATCTGACTTATCAATATTGTTTCAAAGGAAAATTAAAACATAAGTTGCTGAATTATAATTATCACTTCTCTAAAAATAATTTTATTGAGAGAAACGTAACTTTCATCTAACAACTCATTAAGTTATAAGAAGTTTTTCATCTCTTCCTAGTGCTCTCGTGGTAAGACCCCGGAGTTCGAGTCCTGGCTAAAGCATAGCTGATTTCTCACGTTTCTCGCTCCGAAAATCCACAAAAATATCTCTAAGAAATATTTAAAAATCTGAGTAAATACTTGCACAAAAACAATAGTTAAACTTTAGTGAAACTATTTTAAAACATCTCAAATTATGTTCACCCATCATATACCATCAAAATCATAAGATCAGTCTTTTAACTGCTATAATTTAATACCAGTGAGCTTTTAGATATCCAATTATGAATTTGTGATCTGCTAGGACAATGAACCATGTTAATAAGAGAACATCCGTGTATCCAACTATACAGGTAGAAATACTCTATGCTTATTTTAAGAAAAGAGGTGATACTATTGTGAAACCATAATTTTAAAAGCATTATAAATCTAATTCAAAAGAAAATTTATAAAAAATATTCTTTTTAGTTTGAATTAAAACCAAGTAATATGCTAAGTAATTTACTTAATAGTTTGTGTAGAATAAATCACAAATATATATATTTACATCTCTATTTTATAAATGGTATGCAGTTGAAGAGAATTACAATAGTTAAAACGGGAGAATGTTAAAAAATAGAGAAACAAAACTTTTCTTGTTTAATGTTAAGGTAGATAAGCAGATATTCAAAAGAAAATAATCCTCAGCTAGTTAAGTTATTTTAGCGGAAATCTGCTCGTATCAGACGTAATACATGAAACCATATAAACAACCACGCAATCACCCCATCCCATCGAGAATCAAACCCTTAAATTTATGGGGCTGCTCCACTTAAATGGTTTAACTTATTGGTTAGTAATGAGAAACAATTATGCCATATAATTGCTGTATTGTTATTAAGTTGTACAGAAAAGTAAGATTCCCCCTCCACAAATTTCGTGAAGTTTCATTTTATTTAAATACACGTGAAATATTTAGTTGAATACAACTGCTACCATTTAATAAATTCGTAAAGAAAATCCATAAAAGAAAGTGGAAGAATCAGATAACTTTTAAAGGTAGTTCTCAAAAAGAGATTTTTAATATAGTATTTCACATTTATCCAAAACAGCATTCGGTTTTACAGCAAAATTTCTCTACTCAATGGTTGAGTGGTTGAAATTAAAGAATACTGACATTTTACTCCAGATATTGTTTCTGGCTGTTAGACCGGTTGGCTGCATGTGTTTTTCAGGGTTTTTCGCGCTTGTGATGCAAATAAGTGCTTTGTCTTCCCAAAGGCATCCTTTACGTTAGACAAATAGCTTTAAGCTGCGTTGAAGTAAACGTTAAATAATCCTTCCTAGTTCATTTATTAAACATCAGTTGTCTATAATTAGTCCATTCAGACGAATTACACCAAACATTCAGTTAGGCTCAGAATCAGTGAGGCATTTTGTAAAATACAGGGTTTAATTGGGTAAAAAATTTAACGTAACGATTTTTTTGTTTCCTTGATTGATTTCGTTTTTAATTTTCTGCACAAGGAAATCTAAGAAGCAGATTTTTACACTCAGTTAAAGGCTATATAATAATTCAATACGTTATATATACAAAGGCAACGAAAAATAAGCATCTTAAGCATAAAATTTAGATTTTAAACATAAAATCCGAAGCATTAGAAGCTGAATTTCATGAAAAATATGTTATATTACTAAGTGTTGCATATTTTGTATACACATTCGTGTGCAAGATTAAGAGAATTTGCATAATATGTCAACTTTCTGAAACATTAATGGACAGATTTAAATTAACTTTGATATGAATATACATTTATGACAGAGAAAGAAATGCACCATTCACAAATCATTTTATATACGCATGTTTATCAGTAAAGCTCATAGTGCAAGAATATCCCAAATCCACTTTGCGATATCGAAATGAAGATGAGTCTAATATGGGGGTATGGTCCCCTCTCACAGCCAGACAGATTGCGCAGCAGGGCGGTATACTCAACAGGAGGCAGTTGAAGACTGCTTATGACAGATCCCACTCCTGCACCAAGGAAATTTTTAAATCCGTGATTGTTATTGGAGAGGGATGGCGAGATAAAATTGCCCTCCCAATACGCAACTCTAGACATGCTGTATAGGGTTAAGATGTAGCTACGCAATCCATGCGGCGAATATCGTCATTTTCCAGATAATCGTCGACTAGCTGAGCCCTATGTTGAGAAGCGTTGTTGTCCATGAACATGAATCCAGGACTACGGTAATCAGGTAAACAGTGCTCATGCTGAATCTCGATTCGTCTGTAGAAAGCTTTAAAGTCTGGTCTAATGCGCATGTTGTATCTGCACCACGCATGGTAAAAGAGTTCTCTTGTGTAATGCAGTGAGCGGGAAGCAAACATCCGAACTTCTGGCATACAGCCCTATCTCATGAAGCCTTCGGGCAAATGTAGACCATGAAATTGAGGTTCCAGTGGCGGCATACAGCTCACGTGAGAGCAGTGATGCTATAACAGTCCTGTGTCGCCTCGTTGAAAGTTCCAAGTAACGATCCTCATTCGTCCTTGTGGGTCTTGATTGAACTTTCCCATGTTTTGTTTCGATATGGTCCAGTGTCCTGAAACTCTTTCTATAAATTGCAGAGGACACTGGGCGTTTCAGTGAGCCCTACAGCCACTTGGCTTGTATTTTGCTTGTATCAAATCTGCCGAAAATCTCATTCCGTCATCCATATGTTCGAGGCTAATCACGTTACCTGATACCTTATAAAATTTACCTTACTCTTGTGAAAAACACTGCGAATGTCGTAGAGGAGTGATGGCACACAAATCGCTGAAAGACCCTCATGCCGTTATATCCCCTTCACAATCACAGCTTCGCAGACACGCACGTGTACTTTACGTATTCGACTCTGGATATTTACATAATTCTTCGTCGGCATATTTAATACCTTTGGCTCACTATTTTTCATAAAAATAGACACAATTTGTAAACTCTTTTAATTTTTAACCCGGCTCTATGTTAACAGAACACACGGAATATAAAGCAGATCGAAAATTATGTGTATTTGCGCTGCTCTGCATGTCTACTTCTTCATACATGTTAAGATCTTGACAAGTATTTGAAACAAATTAATGCTAAATGGAATGCTAAAAAGCACCTTTTTAAGTATTTAATACTGAAAATATGATGACCGGTGTTATTGTTTCACCTTACTACCTACATATTACACGAAATTTTCTAATGAAATTTAAGCATATCGAATTATAATATGGTGAAAATTTATATAAGTAAATTAAATTTTCTTTAAAAAAAGTTACAGAGCGCATGTTTAAATTCAAAAATTTAAAAGCCTTTTGTGTCATAAAATAGCGGTTATAGGCTTGAAACAATTCCTGAGGACATCATAAAAACATATTACACAACTTAAAAAAAGTAAACTATACAAAATAATTGTAAGGAAAAACATTTATTAATTAACTGTACAACAAGCTAATAGACAATCTTATAATTTGATTACTGAGGCCTTAAACAAAGTTTAGGAATGCGTTTTGTACTTCCATTAACGAACTATAAAATCACAGATAACATCTTCTCCAGCATTTCTCACACTTATCCAGTCTTCTCATTCTTTAAGTTTGCTCTGTTTCTTTTACATCAGATATCTGTGCATGAAAATAAAATGTGATAAAATGCAATAAAGTATACAATAATAATTAGCAAATGACAATATTATGGCATATAATAAAACATAATGGCATTAAGAAACCAGAAAACCTAAATCATTAATAATACCAAACACTTACACAAAATTTACACTAAACTTGAGATAAATGTATTAATGTAAAGATAAATAAAATTTTCAGTGAAATATAAGCCTAGATTCTATTACATAGCTTTACCAATGCTTCGCACTTTAAAATTATTTCTATTCATTGAGATGATATTTAAATAACGGAATATTTTGAATATGTTTGATTGGTTACTTAATTATGCAACCGCATTTGGAGATTATCTGGATTAGAAGAGAGTTATTCGTGAAAGACTTTCGAAGGGATACTGACTCGTATTCATGTTACTGTTGAGAAACTCCTTGCAGACAATCCATTTGCCCGGACTTGAGTTCTGGCATAACTACTAATGTTATAATCTTTTACTTTAGAATAAACATTTCAGGACTATTATTTCTCCCCCAAACAACGATTCATAAAGATGGCAACGACTGCTGAGGAAAAAAATTCGGATCCTTTAGTTGGCTAAAATCCGCTAATTTCCTGTGTGCGTTGGTTACGACACGCGCTATGATCGGAAATGGGGAGGGAGGAGTTGCTCCGATCTTGAAGTTCCTATTTTAAAGTAACAGACTATAAGCAACTGTAGTGTTAAGCAATCGAACACTGATGGCCGTGGATACTTTAGCGTTATATAAGCGTTAATCTGTTTGTGTGCTATTTCGCTGCTTTGCGAAGTTAACCTGGCTAAGTAAGCGCCTTTTTAATAAGTGAGGTATTTAGGCAGCCAAAATATTTAGTTTGTAATGCATGGTCGAAACTTAAGACGTACCTGAATTAATAACTGATAATTAATCATTTACGGCTATTGGTCTCTGCCAATCCATGCCTACAGTCTTAACATCGAAATACGTTAGCTTGTTAAAAGGCGGTTATATTGATTGTAATGTACTCATCCTTTGATTTAAGTAATTACTCTAATGATAATTAAAGTCTTCAGGTTTCAAATTTCTGTTTCTTTTATAGATTTTAAGAGCTGGAATAATATTATCCAAATTGCTAATAAAAGCATCGTCACCTTTTTGTTTCGGGGCTGTCGTAGTTTTTTTTTTTGGGGGGGGGGAATGAAATTTGTAAACTGTTATATAGCTTCAAGTCGCAAGAGAAACACGCCGACGTGGAAAATAAAACAGGCAAATCGATAACCTTATATTCGGAGTAGATTTTTTTAAATCCCTAAAAATTCGGGATTGTAAAAAATCTACGCCGAATATAAGGTTGTCGATTTGCCTGTTTTATGTTATATAGCTTGTTCGAAAAAGCTACCTACAACCTCTGTTTGTTTGTAAATTGTTTTAGATATGAATTTTCAATTATAAATGTTTCTCAAAATAAGGTAAGCAACTTATGTATGTATGTATGTATGTATGTATGTATGTGTAATTATGGCAAAGCCTCGAGGGCTATCTGCCTAAGGGGAGGGATGCCTTCGTGGAGGACTTTCTAAGGGAAACTGGCTCGTAAGCAACTTATGAAAACAGATTTAATAATATTAATGGGATGATCATGTAGATACAATAGCCAACATTTCATACAGTAACCTTATGGATAACCTAAATTCAATAACAGAAATACTCCGTTCTTTGATTTTCTTTTGAGAAATAACAAAATATAGTGGGAAATTTAAATATATAGTATGCTTTTTGAGAAGTGTAGTATGGATACAATTAGGAGGGAGAGGAGAAAATATAGTTCGTTGCTTTCATCGCTGAGGAAATAATACAGTAATGTGAGAAAAGGCTACCGTTCATTGCTTATTTTAAAGTGGCCTACCTTCTCACCTGCACGTTTTCACCTAACATTACTCAGCGCATGAAATCAAATCGCGTTCCCCTTCTTGCCACGGTTTTTACCCCGTAAGTCACATGCTGTCAGCGGATGTTTTAAATGTGAGAAATATGAAAATGAAAGTTTTATAATCACGACATGCCATTTTCATGCCATTTTCAGATTAGATGCCATTTTCAGTAGAGGGTATCTACTTCTCAATTTTAAGGGATGCCCTTTCTAGGACTCCATTTCCTTAAACTATCACTGTAGTAATATATAAATGATTTTAAGAATCAGTGAAAGAACTTACTTGGGTTTTCTGATCCTTACTAAAAATTCTTTCACTTGTTCTTTCAGAATATAAAATCTATCTAATCATCAATAAAGGAAATAAAGCTACGGTTGTGAGCATGTTATACGAGAAATGATTATAAGATCTGATTGCATACGAAGATCCTTAGCTTAATGAATATGAATGGCTACTTATAATTTACTTTGCTTTTAACAATCTATCATTTTGAATAATTCCATCATTGGTACAGTTTAATACAGAAAATTATCCAATGTTCACGGTTCGGAAACAATATACCTTCTTAATACCTTTCTATTTTCAGGTTTGAGCTGAAAACTAATAATGATTCCAGTAAAAAGTAGTAGTTAAACACGAAGTCTGTTTAAAGAAATTTTCCTCAATGAACATGTGCAGTGTAATCTTGAATGCAAACGTTTTTGGTTGTTTTGATATTATAACATTAAACATACAAGTTAAAAGAATTATCTACTTATGCTGTCTACTGTATATTTGCTATTACTGATTTTCAGAACATTACGAAGACAGATATTGGAAAGCCATTTTAACGTTGATCTAAGATCATATGTTTTCATTTTTTGTACTTTATTACATTTAACAACTTAATTTCAGTACTTTGCCTTAATTCTATCTTTGAAACTATGCATTTCCTTAGAATAATTTACATGCGTTAAATATTTCAAGGGATTATGAACTTGTGCACTTTGCATTAACCAGTTATTTATAATTTCAGCCTTTTCTATCACTTCTCCTTTGCGTTTCCGTTTCTGAAGGCCACGTTACTAGTTAATTCTCTGGAGAGCAGTTCTCTGCGGCGTAGCGTTATTCTCGCCATTAGGTTTGTCAAGCCGATTTTAGGACTGAGCTAGCTTGCGCGTTTTTGTCTGTGTAACCTTTGCGTTAGCTACAATTTACTTAGTTAAGTTCAGTTCTTTACTCATGATTTAATAATAACTGCTGGCTAGTTCTGTAAGCAAAAGCTGTGCCTTCTGTTAAATTATATGAATTAATGAAAGGGTCTTTTACACTCTTTCACAGTGTCTGCTGCTTTTTCCAAGACATAGAGAGAAGTCGCTTAACTCTTCAGAGTTCTCAGTCAGTTTACGTTACTAAAGAGATTAAGACTCTACAGCCTCTAAAAAAATAATAATTTAATTACGAATTTTTTTCAATTGATTGAAAAAATGCAGCTTAATTCTCTCTTTCATTCACTTTTTAAAATACACTTTGACTCTTAACTGTAATTTTTTATCGAGCAATTATTTCAAAGAATTTCTACGGAAGATTGCAGTAAATACAACATATTCAAATCTAACAGCATCGTGAAAATACGATTTACCCCCCCCCCCAAAAAAAAAAAAACAAGAACTTTACGAAAACAAATATTAAAGTACATTTTAACAATGATTTAATGAGGCACATTTTTCGTTTTTCATATTTAATTATACTTTGCAATTATGTTACTCATACAAAGACCGTTCATGTTTCAACGAAGAAAACATATTTTATCTTAAAGTAGTAAGTAAAGTTAAGTAAAGGCCTGAAATCGCAAACATTTTAGAGTAAGTTAAAAGAATTGTTTCCATTTCTAATAAAGGTTAAGCATTTTCTTATATCTCTTATTAATCCTGTAACGTCTGAATAATTTCATTTAAATCAGATCCTGTATAGCCCTATCAAAGCACACTGGAAGTTATAAAAATCCTTTCCTACAGCACATCAGCCCAGTCTGTTTACTGTAGCTGACTCTTCTCAGCCGATAGCGCCAGGGCTTAAGCTCTGAAGAAACAGTGCTTACCTCAGAGTGTATTTACAAGGCAAACGGATTAGGACAAGCCTGAAACACGCTCGTCTCTTTACGTGGGATAACTGGAGCTTTGACAGATAAGTGGGAGCCCTGTCTTCTAATTTAATGCTATACAAGTTGTTATAAAAAGGCTTTATTTCCTTAAACAGGTAACTTGTACACGCATTTCTAGTTACACAAATCTTCTCAAAATAAGGTACAGAATTTTTACGAAAGTACTTTCAGCTTTGTGGTTGGAAGACTTCCACAAATATAAAACTTAATATTTTATGACATTCTTGCACTATTCTTGATAACTATGTAAAATATTGCATACCTGTATGTAGCCAACTAGTTGCCGAGTGGATAAAACAGCTGAACTCTGGTTGATCGATCCGGTCTCAAATCCTGGTGTGGAGTCTGACTAGATGGATGTTTTCACGGTTTTTCCCATACATAACTTGAATATGAGCCAATTTTCCCATATAAAGTTCTCCATGAAGGCATCTTCCCTTTAGGCAGACAGCCCTCGAATTAACTTTATATATAAAATTTGCATAAATTTGTCTAATTAATATTTTCATGAGACCACGTGCAAATGTAATAGTGAATACTTTTTAAGTCTATGCTGAATAGTAATTGCCAAAACGAAAAAGAGTTATTCTATAGTTGCTTCCTAAATGTGGTAAGGAGAAGGTACTGAGCAGTGAAAGTCAATAACTTCCTTCTCAATTATCTTTTAAATCTGCGCATGAAAATTTGAAAAATTTTGTATTAAGCTTATTGAGGCATAATAAATATTTTGTTAATAGAAATTATACTCATCGGGGACAATATAAAAATTTAGATTTTGCATTTATAGAATCCTGCCACCCGAAGTTTTAAAATCGCTTTCGCAAAATTTTCCACCTTATTTTGAGAAACACGGTAATTGGAAATACGTATTTAAATCTTAACTGTCTAGTGCATATCTAGAAAATTTGAGTAAATGTAATTTGTAGCCATCTTTTTAACATTAAGTACATACATTTTTACAAATATTATAAAAAAACTTCTTAGATTACATTTTACAGTTTTAAATTTAACTTTAGAGCAAACCTGTAAGAAGGACAGTGTAAGTAATTAAATCTTTCAGTATTATGTATTCACTCTGTACTAGCACTAGCTGCTCTACAGTTTCACAGTGATAAATGTCAATATTTACTTTTCTTATTATTTGAATCAACGAAATATTGAAAAAAGAGGGGAAAAATCATCAAATATTTCAAAAAACGTGTTTTTCGGATGCAAAATATAACTGTTTTTTTATTTTTTTTATTATTATTTCATTTCCAAAAGTTGGAGATATATAGTTCTGTTTGGTTTGAATTAGATTTGTAAAATATTCTACTGAATTTCAACATTTAATTCAATTCCTACATTTATAAAAATATCATGGCAATAATTTTTAAGTTTTATGAGCTGTTAAGCTTGAGTTAAACGGTGTCCTGTCTTTCCCTTGATTCACAGCTCGTAATTCGTTGAGACATAGAGGTTATACGAATGCCAAGCCCATGCAAGAATGTTTAAAATCTCAGGAATACCAATTACAACTCATGCTTTGTTGCTTGAAGAGTTGCTTTGCTGTTGGTAACATCTAGGCCCGAAAGTAGTATTGGTTGGAGTCCACGGTGAAGCCCATTGTCGCTCTCGGTTGATCATGGAGCCCTTTCCATAGTTCGATTTACTAAAGTTCATAAGCTAAGTATCTTGTTTTCAGGAATTTGACTTTGATACATTAGAAAAGGTTAAGAGAAAAAAAAAATGCGTGTGTCGTGGACGCATTCAGCTGATCAATGTTTATTAATGTTTAACAATGTTTTTAGCTGAAACATTGTGTAAAGTGAAGTTTTCATTAGTTTTATGAGTTGATTAATTTTGTTAGCTTTAATGCTTATTCTGGCCCCAAGTTTGAATTATGTTGTAAAATAAAATAATTGATCAACCTTGATTTAATCTCTGTTTATTATTATTTATAGATTAGGATATTAGTCCGATTGGGTTAATGGAAATTAGAAAAGGATATTAGCCCGAATGGTCTATTAGTCTCCAAATAGGATGCTGCGTCCTCCGATGTAAGGGGCTGCATCACTTTCCAAATTGTTGCCAACAAATATTATCGCATTTTATTATTAAATTAAATAATAAAGAAGCTGCATGTTCCTCGCACTGTGAAAAACAAAGATGTTACCTAAGGTCAGCAAATTTTGAGTAACGTAGTCCTCCATCCAAACATGTGCACCTGGAAGCCCACAAAATGTGGGCTTCCAGGTGCTATTATTACACTTTTTTATTATTACACTTTTCCAGGTGTTATTATTACACTTTTCCAGGTGTTATTATTACACTTTATTATTATTACATTTTTCCAGGTGTTATTACTACACTTTTCCAGGTGTTATTATTATTACATCATCTTTTATTAATTTGTATATAGCTCACCTGGTCATGAAACGTGACTTTTAAAGTTTTTGTTTTCCTTTTTAACTGTAACACTACAATTTAGGGTCAAATAAAAATTGCTTGATATTAATCTGTTTAAACCTCGTATTATTCTGGACTATAACTCATTTGACATTTGTTGAAGTAATAGTGAATTACCGGTAGATGAATAAAGCAAAAGCTTCATTAAGCACAAGAATTGCAAGTAAATTAAAATATTTACCGTATTTTCTGGTCTAATTTCTTCCTTTTGTTTACTGATTTTATCGTTCGAAAATTGAGGGGAGAAAATTAGGTGAATCAGTTAATTTCCAAAGGACGTGGTTATAGCAAGAATGTAACAAATGAAATGTAGTCATGGATAAACAACAGGTAAATATTATAACATTATTTCTTTAAAAGAAATTTATATTCCCATAAGAATAAATAGTAATATCTAATAAGATACCTTTCTAGAATCTCGCTCGTTCTTATTGCTGTCTTTGTGATTCCTTAGGTGTCAAATAATCAATAAATAATTAAGAAGCTAAAGTTAATTATCAATAAATAATTCGAGAATATACCAGCTGACACAGCGAAATCGTATACTGGATGTCAGCTGGTGTTTCATTGGTCGGTTCTTGTATTAGGTTGGCATAAAACTCAACAGTTTGAAGGAAAGGGTTCGTTGGAAATTTAGCGAGTAGTTTTGAAGGTATTGCCCTTGTTAGTAAGACGAAAACAATCACAACGTGGACGAATTCGTTTTGAAATTTAGGAAAGCTCGTTCTCTAAACCCATTGAAGAAGGAGAAAATTCTGCAAATATTAAAAAATTTTCAAGGCCTAAAAAAACTAGGCGAAAAATATGTCGGGAAATATGGTAATAAGTTTTGTCCTTTTGTTAAAAATTCTAGCGCGAACTTCGTTGTAAGATTATAATGTTTTGGTAAAAAATTATCAGAATTTTATTTTTAAGACTTTTTCTGACTTAAACCATTTTCGCTTTGTCGATTACTTGTATCAACACATTGCTAACGCATTTTATCATGTTTCCTATTATTTTAGTAATAGCATTTCTTGAAAGGTAATTTTATTTCTTTAGTGATTATTTATTTCTTCTCCGCTTACTTTTTTTTTCCTTTCTAGCTGTAGAAAAATGATTGTGGAAAAGCAGATACAAATTGTTTCTGCATCAGTTCGAGTCCTTATGCTGTACTTAATGAAGTTAGTGATTCGTGTGCACAGTAGAAATAGGCCTACGAGAGCTGGGAAAGAATTGCCCAACAAATGCCCTTCAAAAGAGAGTACGTATACGAACAGTTTTCTTTACACTTAACACAATTTTATCTTTGAAATAGCTTGAAAACATTTCTGATTTTTCTACAGTATCTTTTTGTGAAGTATGGCAATCTGTTCAATCGCGAGATTTTCAAAATGCTAAATTTTTTCTTTTCTCATAAGTTTAGATGGTATGTATTAAACAGCAGTATTGATAAATTTACGTTTAGGCGACTAGCATTCCTTAAAAAGTTATTATTTATAGAAATTTTATTACTTCAATGTAAAAGGCAAAAAGATGATAAAATTCATTTATTTCATAAATAAAAGCTTATTATTTGAGAATGCTTTCGATATAGGGTTTGATCGGGTTGATTTATGGTATTATGACAAATTGGCAATTTGTTTAAGAGAAGGGATGTCTTCGTGCAGGATTTTCTAAGGGAAACTGGATCGTATTCGCTTTACAGATAGGAAAACCACGAAAACGTCCATGCAGCCAGCTCGTTTACCTGGAATCAAAACCAGGTCGGAACTACTATTGCTCATCAACTTTACCGCTTTGTGGCTGCTTGGCCCTTTTTATAAGGATTTATCGATAACAGAAAGAAGATTTATTGATAACAGTGTTGTTGCTCTTTATTTCCATAGTTTTAACGCCCACCAGCGGCCTAGCGGTAAAATCGATGAACACTGGTAGTTCGGTCCGAGGTTCGAATCCCGCGAACGGGCTGGCTGCATGGGCGTTTTCGTGGTTTTCTCCATGTGTAACGTGTATGCGAGTCAGTTTCCCTTACAAAGACCTCCACGAAAGCACCCCTCCCCTTAGGCAGATAGCCCTAGTGTGCTTTGCCATAATTAAATAAACCAAACCAAAACAAACCATCAATAGTTTTAACAGTGTCAGTTCAATGGGATATATATATATAAGCAGCTTAGTTTAAGAAGACCGAATTGAAAACTGTTTTCCACATGGTAAACGTTTGTAGAACTATATTATGATAAACTTACTCGATTTAATTAAGCTATCCTTATCTAGACCCAGGTTCATTCATTTAAGGTATTTAGAATTGATAGTTTTTACAGTAATATCATAGTTCAAAGAATGGAAAAATGCTATTTTTCTACCTTATAAGTGCCTCAAAGAATCTCAACAGAGCACTTCAGAGATAACGCAGCATGCTTTTTATGTTATGAAATTACGAATAACTTGCGTTTAGTTTTGGGGAAAAAAGAGGAATATGAACGATAAAATGATGACATGAGAAGCCCAGGCAAAGTACAACGTCGGTTGCAATTGCTCGGGCAAAGTACAATGTCTGAGAATGTTTTGGGTTTACAGTTAAATCTTCCTGAATGTTCTCAGCATATCACTTTAAATTCACAATCTTAAAGGTTAACGTTCAGAACTGAAGAAATGGAAAAGCTTCATGCGGCGAAATTTCAGTCTGACTTGGGTAAGAGATACTTCTCCACTTACATAACTGAAGACCTTAAACCACTTCACCATTTGCCCCGAGACCGAGTCTTAGATTTTAAAAGTGTCGTCAGTAGCTCTGAGCTAGTTTCGAACCCTAATAAAATATATATATATATATATATATATATATATACACCAAATTATTTAGGTATTTAAGATGGCCACTGACCTTTTGATAGTATCTGAATTATTAAAATCGTTCAAAGTTACTGACTACACATTTCAAATCGACGAGTCTGTGTTGGGGGACACGGTCAAGTGGTTAAATGATATCTCTCAAGCACATTGAGAGAGTCATACATAGACTAGAGTACTACGTTCCCTTATATCAATTGTTTACCACGTCGGTGAAGCTGTGTAAAAGAACAGTTTGATATATTGAAATAACAGATTTAGAAAGAGTTGATGGTGTTACAGAACAGATTGCTAAGCCAAAATGCAATTTCTATATACAAGATTTTTTTTTTTTTGTGTGTGTGTGTGTGTGTTGAAAGAAAAATGTGCGGCAGTACTCTACCAACTTAATACTTAACTTCCCAAGAATAGTATGCTTAATATTCAGAGGTATCTTTAAGATAACAAAGACATGTTAAACATAAGCAAAACAAATTAAGAGCACAATAAATAAAAACAATAAAAACTGACAAATTAATAAAAAGGCTGTTTTTATCTTTTGAGCTTTCCCTAAAAGTACATTTTGTCACTTTGACAAAGTACTTTTTATTCACTTAAAACAGTCAAAACATTTTTCTTTGAGGATTTTTAGATTTAGTTTCGTATAAATATCGTTGTAAATATTTGGAACATACTTTCTTCTAAGCGTTTTTTTTGGAGGGGGGGGGGGTATTGTGATTTTTTTTTTTTTTTTTGGTATTTTTTGGATTTTTTTAAGGGGTTTGATGATTTGGGGTTTATTTTGTGTTTAATCTTATTTATAGCCGGCGACTTTCTATAAGATTCGCGAAAACGTATTTTCAATGCTTTACGACCGATTCTTCCTACCAACTTTTAAGTGAGACAAAGCAGATTTGTCTACCCCGAAACAGTTAGATTTTTACTATTATATGCTATTTCTGAAAGGCGCTGTATTTCCTTTTCGGCTCGATACCTGATTAGATATCCGTAAAAGTTAGTGCTAGTTAGGCTTCAAATCAAGCAGAAATAATCTGATGTGAATACCACATAGCTTCCTTGTCCAGCCTATTAAATTATATACACTTTTTGCTGCATTTAATTTAAACTTATTTCCTCGAATTATTCTAACTTAATTAACCTACCTTTCAACGCAAGTTTGAAATGACATCAAAAATTGAAAATTTTGAAATTAAATATTTCGGTCAATTTTGGTCGTACCATAACGACTGTAAAATTATGACATGTATAAGAACAGAAAGACTGCATTAAAAGTTATCTTTCGTTGTGTGCCAAAAATTAAAAAAATGTGACATTGCCGAAACATTAATAATTTCATGATTTAAAACACTTCTGTAATTGGATGTGTATGACTACTACCGACGATTGAGAAAATAAAGGTATGGTAAAGACTTTTAAGCCGTAATATATTTAATTTTGCCGATTGCACAGCTTGATGTTATAGCAGTCCCATATACAAAACTTCAAAAATTATGGCTAATCATTTTTGGGTTTCGTCATATACATACATACATACATAACGTAACTACAGACTGTACGAAAAAATTAGTTTTGAACACATTTTAAATCCAACTTACAAACTGTTTTGCAAAGAAATTTCTTTATTCTGTCCGTACATGCAGATGTCACGGGAAAAAAAAAAAAAAAATCGTAAATTCGGGAACAGTGAAAATGGATATTTTCTGTTGAAAATATGATATCCTAAATTTTTCGCAATTATAATGCTTCTTTATTTCGTAAAAGGAAGTAAAAAAGGATAGACCAGCGATTCTCAACCGGTGGTACGCAAAGAAACAAAGTATTTTTGGTTAATCTTTGGATTATGGTAACTTGGCGATTTTTTGGCGAACATTTGGCGACCAACCCTGCTACAGCAATCTGCTAGTTTTTTTTTTTTTTTTTTTTTTTTTTTTTTTTTTTTTTTTTTTTTTTTTTTGATGCCATTTTGTTTTCAGGAAGTAAAGGCATGTTTTTTTTTTACTCAACATTTTTTCCAACAATCTGCTAACCGAATTACGCTTATGCTAGAACTTTTATGCAACAAAAGTGCTTAATCATGACGAAGATTAGGTTCCAAATTGGGAGAAAGTGTAGAATCGCCCACTGCTTGCCGCGTTTTTAAGAATTGCACATACATGGTACCCATGTACACGTCGACCTATTTAAAAAAAAAAAAAAAATCCCAGAATTGCACAAAAATGGCATTGCGCACACTCTTGACTTTATCCATGTACACTATTAAAGTCCTACCTAGTAACCTTTATCGCCTTACCCAAATGTCGCCAAACTACCTGTTGCCATATTCCAAAGATTAGCTGTATTTTAACTATTAAATTCAAAAATCTTGTGAAAAAAAGAACAATTGATAGAAATTTTCTGTGATCGAACTCTTAACTGAAGATTTCAAAACTAACACACTTGTTAAAGATTGGCTGAACCGAAAAAAAAGAATTTAAAAGCATTTCAAATAAAGCTATGAAAATTTTTATTCTCTTTTTGCGCACCCTATTTGTGTGAGCAAGGATTTTTCTTCTATGCTATATTTGAAAAAGAAAAAAAAATAATAAATAAATAAATATAGAACAAAAATAAAAGTGGATCTTAATTTACGGTTAAAGCTAAGTGAAATATGGCCAGACATAAATAAAATGATCTCTCTCAAACAGGCCCAAATTTCACAATAAATTTTGGAATTAAAGTAGTTTAACTTAAATTTTGCTAATTAAAAGGGTAACTAATTTTTAATCTAATATTTCTCATGTGTGCATATTTAATACAAATAGCCAATTGGTTGTGCACATAGCAAAATATTTACTTTTTTTTACTATTTCTATTGAGAAATTAAAAAATAATCGTTGTAAAATGTAGTGGTAGTACTAAAGTGTTTCACTTTTTGTTTAGATGATTCGCGTTAGTCAAAAGGTTGAGAACCGCTGATATAGACGACTAGAGAAAATATATTTTAAAGGAAGGTTTCGAAAGCATGCAAGTTAAATTATAAGAATCCTACAGCATAAGATTCTCGCTCAAGCGTAAGAAAGTGTACTGTTACGCCATATATTTAATTCTTTAAAAAAAAAAAAATTCTACAGCTATATGAAGAACAGAGGTTCTTGATTTCAAAGGTATGTGTGTGAAGTAAAAAGACAATGCGTGGCCAGTTAAGAATGAAACAACTGGGTACTATTCCGTTTCGGCCGTAAAAAATCGCCAAAATATTGTTGATGCCAGTGCTGCCAAAAATAATTGCGGCAACCCTAACGAGAGAAAGGAAGTATAATAGTAAATAACTATCTAAGATTGATGTTTTAATTTAGATGAAAGGTTGCATGTAATACTTTTTTATTATTATAATTTATAAAAAAAAAGGATAAACATGACTGAAGGGAACCA